AAACCTTAGATCGCCTACAAGGTGCGAATGTGTTTTCGGTTCTCGATCTTCGCTCAGGATACTGGCAGATACCGATAAAACAAAGTGACAGAGATAAGACGGCTTTCATCGTGGGTCAGACGCAATATCGATTTAAACGCATGCCGTTTGGACTAGCAGGTGCACCGTTTACGTTCAGGCGACTGATGAAGCTATTACTTAAGAACTTGAAAAACGTGGAGGTTTATGGTGATGATCTCGTCATATACAGTCAAACGAAAACGATCACGTCAACCATGTAGAAGCCGTGCTGCGACGCATCGAAGAGTTTGGACTACGCGTCAACAAAACCAAGTCTCAGATAGCCAAAAAGAATGTTACTCTGTTGGGACATAAAGTGGGAAATGGTGAGATTAAACCACTGCCGGAGAAAATTTTGACGATTAAAACGATTCCAGCCCCGAATTCAAAGAGAAAACTGAGACAATTCTTGGGTAGAGCAGCGTTTTATAGTCGCTTCGTGAAGAACTTCAATGAGATAGCAGCCCCTCTATACAGGCTACTAGGTGAGCCAAAGTTTGTTTGGTCGGAAGAATCGCAGAGGACATTCGACAGAATTAAACAGCTGCTCGACCACCAACAAATGACGCTAAAACTACCTGTGCCAGGAAGACAGTTCACAGTGTGCACAGATGCCAGTGACTACGCTATAGGTGCGGTCCTAAGACAGGACGAGGGAATCGTTGAGTATGCCAGTAGGGTGTTGACCCTCACAGAGAGAAAGTATTCAACGATAGAGAAAGAATGTTTAGCAATGGTATGGGCAGTCGACAAATGGAGACCTTATTTACTCGGCCGGCGGTTCCACATCGAAACTGATCATAAGCCGCTACAATTTTTGAAGACAGCGAGAGACCCACGGGGGAAGTTGTCACGGTGGATGTTGCGTCTTCAGGAATACGATTTTACGATCTCACACGTTCCTGGAAGTGAAAATGTCTTGGCAGATTTGTTATCGAGACCAGAAGATGAGTCTGAGTTGCCCGAGGTCGCTTACGGAGTGCATGCAGTAGAACAAGACCCACTAAGACTTGCACGTAGGCAGAGGTTGGACGATACGCTGAATACAGTAATACAGGTGATCACCAACGGAATAGAAGTGGATCAAACTACGGCGAGTAAGGAGCTAACCACACTACTCAGACAGAGGGATCGACTCAGAGTGAATGCCTACGGGACTCTGACCTGGCGAGAGAACGACGGAAGCTGGCTGGCTGTCATACCTCAATCGTCGCGCCACGACATGATAGAAGAATGTCACCAGCTAGCGCATACAGGCGTGGCCAGAACGACCGACCTCCTAAGACAAAGTATGTACTGGCCAGGTATGAGAGAAGACGTAGCAAGATACGTACTTGGATGTCCACGGTGCCAGCTGATGAAAGGTGACCGGTATATACGACCACCACTTCAGTCGATTCCAGTTACCGCGATAGGTGACTTGTGGTCCGTAGATGTCATGGGTCCATTTCCTCAGACATCCAATGGTAATCAGTACCTCTTGGTGATGACGGAACACGCGACACGATGGGTAGACGCCGTAGCAATCCCAGACCAACGTGCAAGAACCGTGACAGATGCAGTAGTTAGACACATTGTTGCAGACCACGGCGTACCGAAGACAATACTGACAGACCAAGGTCCCTGTTTCGAGAGTGAAGAGTTTACTTCCCGTTTGCAACAGCTGGGCATCAAGAGGATCAGAACGACCCCATACCATCCACAAACGAATGGCCTAACGGAGAGAAACAACCGTACACTGAAAGAGTGGCTGGCTTCGAAGGGCGGGAACTGGGAAACGGAGCTTCCACTGATTTTACTAACACATCGGGCTACCACTCAGGAAACAACGAAGAAGTCACCCTTCCAACTGATGTATGGCAGAAAACCACGATTACCGGTACACAATGAGACCTGGCCCATGCACCAAAAGTGGAGTACGACGAAATTAAAAGCAGAGAGGAAAGAGGCAGTCAAGAATGTAATACGGAAGCAGCGCAGTGATGTCACGAAGTCTCAGATGAAAGAAAGGACGCAGTGCATTACCTTTGCAGTCGGGGACCAAGTGAAGTGTAGAGACAGGAGATATACAGTTGGAGGCGGGCTAGGTTCACGGAAACTCCTTCCAAAGTGGGAAGGACCATACACAATCACAAAAAGACGGGGTCAAGTATATACCATCCGAAGAGGTGATAAACAGAAACGAGTTAACGCCAGTCAGCTACAAAGATGGGTACAGTGGGACAAGCCGGTCAGTAACAATCCTCAACTAGAGGATGTAGCACCCAGAAGGTCGGAACGTCTGCGCACAAAGCTATTTGACGGGGGGACGAGTGTGGTGAGAGCAGGCTGCTAGCCGATTGGTTGGCACTAATCTACGTTAATGTCTAGGTCACTAATATTGACCGTGAACAAGGCTGTTTCAACAACCAATCACAGCAAACCTAAATGTGGACAAATATGATTCGCAGATAGATGGCTCTACTTTCCGAGAAATATCGAACACAACCAATCATAAGACTGTGTTTGTCTGCTTAACTTCCGAGAAACAACCAATCAGAAGACTGCCTTTTTCTGCTTGCATAAGCCTTATTAATGCATATAAAATATATATAAATACGTGTTGATTTTCGTAATAAAACGATCTGTTGCCAGCCCTTGTCTTCTGTTGTTACAATTGCACTCTGGGAATATCTGCTTCCTCTCAGGCACAGGTTTTTGGGAATATGTTCAGAAAACCGGATAGAAGCCTTTCTTTCTGTCCTCCCAATGTACTTGCTCCCGCAAGTGCAAATAAATTCATAAACGCAGTTGGAGGTGACATCAGCAGGGTATTTATCCAGTTTTGAGTGGATTAAAGAAGGAGTGGTACTGTATACTGTTATGAGTTTTGCTGCTGGGAAGCTTCTATTTATTGCACCTTTCAGTCTTTTGTCAATCTTTTGTGACACTGCATCTCCTTTGTATGGTAGACAGATAAACACTTTTTTCTTTTCTACAGTTGGATGCTTTTCTTTCTCATCTTTTTCTCTGCTGTACTTCTGAATAAATCCCTTAGGGTATCCATTTTCCCTTAGGCATTTCTCGACGAAAACTAATTCTTCTTCGACCCTGTTTGGTGAACATAGCTTCCTGGCTCTGTCATACAAAGTCCTCACTAATCCACGTTTATAGCTTATGGGACAAAAGCTGTTATAGCGAAGATATTGTCCAGTCCAGGTTTCTTTTCTATAGATGGACTTTTCGACCGTGCCTTCGTTTGTTCTTTTTACATTTAGATCCAGGAAATTGAACTCATTATTATGTTCATATTCCATGGTGAAATTGATATTTGGATGTATCTCATTTAGGCGATCATATAGTGCCGATGCGTGATGCATATCGTTGCAAACAACAAATGTGTCATCAACATATCGGCGATTTGTTTATTAAACATATTGATGCCTGTTTTATGGCTCATGATTGGACAGTTTCAAAAACAAGAGATGTTTTTTTATATATAAACCTCTGTTATGTTAATTTTCGATGAATTTCCTTGAAGAAGTTCGGACTAGATTGCTGAACGAAACGTTGAAATTATTCATTTCAGTTTCGCTGAGATTTTACATATATAATTTTATAAATAATAATAAAGCTTTGTTTCGGAAAATATACCACCATATCTTACAAAAATTTCGTCCTGGTATGGGACTCTTCACAGTACTCACCCACCGCCAGAGTTCCGACTCAGGATCTTCTGGTTACAAAACGAGTAAGCTCAAAGACTATTCAGGCACTGAGACCCGATTCCATGAACAGTCCATGAATTCTAACTTCTACCAATTCACGACAGCACGACCAATTCACAATATTCCCGGTGAGTTACTGTCCCCATATTGGATAGGGTCTCAGCGGCTTAATGGTCTATAAGGTAGCTCGCCTTGTGGCCACAAGGTCACTTGGTGAGTGCCTACTGTGAAGAGTCCCAAACTAGGCTGACGAAACAGCTGTCTAGTACTCCCAGGTTTTCCAGGTTCTCTAACCGATCCGGATTTTCAACTCCAATGTGAAGCCAGTCAGTGTTACTATACGGATAAGGGACTTGGCGCGTCATAAAAAGCACCTCAAACAAACTACAGACCTTCATTTACAGTTGTCTTCGCTCAATACGTTGCTCAAGATCAGATGACCAGAAAATATCAGCAACAGGGATCTCTGGCAATGAGCGAACCAACCAACCAGGAACCGATTGTGAAACAAACAGGCAGGAAGAAATGGAGGTGGATGAACCGCACCCTGAGGAAACCATCAAGTGACATCACTAGACAAGCCATTGCTCGAGTGGAACCCGAAAGGGAAGCGGCCAGTTGGTCGTCAATGTGAGGGTGACTTGGAGGAGGTCATGCGAAGAGGAGATGAAAGCATATGGGCAGTTGTGGAGCCAGGTAAAAACTTTAGCAGAAAACCGAATGCAATGGAGACATGAGCGGGTGAAGCCCTATGTTCCTCTAGGAACTAAAGGAAATGATAATAATAACGATAATACTCTCTAACCAATGTCAGCTCATGATGAAATCCTCGAATCAATCAAACAAACGAAATCCCGAAATACGTTTTTCTTCACACAGGATTTACACATGTGGTAGTCACCCCAAGTGTATCATCATTTCGTTGAAGAATTGTCTACTCGGAAGCAATTCAAATTAGCGCGAAAGTTTATACATAGGTCACTGGATATAACTGGACGAATAAAACAATGATGATAAATCCAGATGAAATTAGGCATTTTGGCAGAAAGCACTTCCAGTAACCCACTGATTTAAGCAGGCCGCCAAGAGTTACCTATCACTTAAAACTTTCTCTTGTGATTTCAAAACTATATGCACAAAATATACACCTTCACCAACACCACCAACATTGGATTCAACTATCTAACATTACTCACTGAGTCAGTAAAAAAAGAAAAAAAGAGAAGAACTTACATTTCCATGAGATACTTCATCTTCATCTCTTACATAGAAACGTAGTACAGGTTTTGTGAATACTTGTCCTTCAGGTATTGTAATATTCTCTTGTACTACAAGTGTTGGCACATTATCATTAATATCTCTGATTTGTACAAAGATTGTTGTTGTGCTGGAGTGTTGTGGACTGCCTAAGTCTTTGGCGACAATCGGTAGGACAAATTGTCGTTCTGAATAGATTTCATAATCTAATGGTTCCCTGATTGTAATTGCTGCACTTCTTGAATCAATATTAAACTTGGATGTGACCAAATTACTGGCCAGTGGACTAAAGGAGTAGACGATGCGTCCATTATCGCCAGAATCAGCATCACTTGCATTGACAATGATAAATGGTTTATAATTTAAGGTGGTATTCTCCGGCAGACTAATTAGACGTTCTGCTTCAGTGTATTCTGGAAATGTCGGTGAATTATCATTGATATCCAATAGACGGACTATTATGGACAAAGATCCAGTTAAAGGAGGATCACCACCGTCTATGGCATAGAATGTCGCATAAATTTCTCTGTCATCTACGTTCTCATAATCTAATGGTCTTAATAGGGTCAGTTTTGGATTTAAATGACGTGAACTAACAGAATTACCGTTCGATTTCTGTGTAAAATCAGAGTATGTCATACTAATATTCAGCCGTGGTGTTTGAACTGGAACACCTTCACTTGTCTGCTCTACAAGTTTATACATAACAATACCATTCACGTCCGAGTCTGCATCTGAAGCCACTGGAAGACTTTCAAATCCACTTGTATCACCTTCTCTGATGTAAATAATGAATGGCCTGTTGGTGAGTTGATTCACTGAATTCCCTGTATCCTGGTTAATCACATTAGTTGATATGAAAGTCGGGGGGTTATCATTCGCGTCATTAATTCTGATGAACAGTCTTATCATGCGTTGTTCGCTAGACTCATTCAAGTTACCGGCTCTGTGTTGTTCTAACGCCTCTTCATCAGTTCCATCACCTTTTGTAGATTCCTTTGTCTTAGAAGCATCAAACTTTTCACGTTTTCCCCATTGCTGCTTAGTAAGAATTACATTCGCTTCAGTCTGACATATCGGCAAAGAACAACAATCCAATGGACCGCATACTTCATTTGTATTATCACGATCAATATGACGCAGGGTGATCAAATCCCCGTTAGGAGATATTCGAAAGAAGTCACTTAAATATTGAAATTTTGTTGAAGAAATTAAAAGAAATGTATACTTCAATGCATAGTCTGGAGATAAGTTTTCTGCCACATTACCGATCAATGAACCAGCTGGTGTTTCATCGGCAAGATTATAAATAATTGTTGGCATTTGATGACTACTTGTGAAATGCAATAACAGAAGTAGTAGTATGAGTAAGAGTGAAACACTGAAATCTGTAGAAATCATCCACCAATCAAATCGCATAATTTATCTTCTTTGAAATACTTTGAATACACTTGGAAGTCTAGTGAATCAATTGATGTGGTTGTCTGGAAATAGAAGAAGAAGAAGAAGAGAATGGAGAATTTTAACATGAGTTTCATTCAATCATGCAATTCAATATAAGATAAGTTTATTTTGAAGTGTCACACTGTGATGATGATGATGATGATGATGATGATGCAGTATCAATAAATGGATGACAAGGTTTCCAGTGCAATGTATTATTGCCACTCATAATCAATAATCAATTTTAGTCACATGGTTTCACAATTTGTCTTATATACATATATATATTTTTTCTCACCGTTCTGTCTCTCTCTTCAACTTCCCTTTGTCGTTTGTTCCCACTTGCCATATCTGCAATATAGACGGTGTGGTATGATTCTGATTCCAAGTGTGCGTTGTTGCACCGAAATAGGATGGAATGACTGGAAGTCCAAATATCTGTTTGAATGTGTGTGGGAATCCTGTAAACACACGGTAGTATGTGTTTAACTTCTCATCTTTTTTTTTTCCTTTTTATGCCACAATCTAACATTGGAAACTTTCCTTTCTGACTTTCCAATTCATCATAAGTGAATTGAATTGCCTCTACCTTTGAGTCATAATGTGTTCGAAAAATCTGTCTATATCGTGTGTTCTAAGTGTACGGTGAATGTGTCATCTACATATTGGTGATCCCGGATGAATTAGTCAAGAAATATGTAAGAAAATGTAAAAATAAAATAAATAATGATAGTAGCGATAGTGATAATAATAATAATGATAACAATAATAATGTTATTAATAATAGTGATAATAATAGTATTATTAATGGCAACACCAACTGTGAAGCCAATTAAACGAAACAATTTAGTTTATCTAATACCCTGTCTACGTTGATTGTCCCGTCAAATACATAAGTCAGACTAGTAGAACAGGGGCAGTCAGACTGGCCTAACATAAGAACCTACCAGCGAAATCTAGATTGGTTGACCCAAATAAGATAAGAAGTCTAGAGAATAGTTCAGCTATACCACTCACTACATGCAGTTACACACAACCATACAATAGGCTGGATGGGATAGGATGACAGTTTTAAAATCTATTACAACTAACAGGGTGGAGGGAGAGATTGATGACAGAAGCTTTGTTTATTGGAGCAACTACAAACCAACACGTGTAATAGAAATGATTCAACACCTGTCCACCCAGATATCTGGAAAATTCTACTACCCCAACGACGACAGATAGAAGGGGACAAAGAAACCTATGAAACTCAAGTTTCTAATTCGTGTGATTATAATTCATGAAGTGGTTATGAACAGTAATAAATTTTGTTCGAAACTTTGTCATCCAGTAAATAAAAATACTGTTTCACTGACTGTGTGATACATCTAATAAACTAACTAATATGGAACAGCTTTCTTCCAGGTTATTTAACTTAACAGAGCCAATCATCATTCGTAGGTTTAGGGGAATTTTTATGTTCTAATAATCTAGTTGACCCTGATCTACCAGTTTGACTGGTCTGTAGTAATTGACCTCACTAACAGTCATTAATTGTATGGTATTCAATAAATTATATTATTGTTCTTAATTGGACCTATTGAGTCTTTAAGCTCGAAACCTTGTCATCCAGTTGTTAATACTGCATCATCATCACGATGTGATATTTGAAATAAACTGATCTTATACGGAATTACAGATTGTAGCAGCACACTGCCCATGTTCTACACTTTCACTCAATAATGGTCTACAGGTAGGGAATTCGTCGTTCTATAACTGGGCCTGTATCAACTTTGTGTGAAGATGAAATACCTGAATATGTTGAACCTGTCCTAGAAATTAGATAACGCACTAATTATCCGACTACAATACTGAGAATGCTAATGTGTAAGCGTGTTTAAGTCCTGGATCTCGATTATTCATTTCTGATGTTGGAAATGCTTTATACTCATGAAAATAAACAGCAGCAGAAAGCGATTATTAATTATTATTCCCTTGGGTTCCAAGTGGAACATTGGCCTTCAACAACACATCTCCACTTTGTTATATTTTCTACTGTCCTTTTCTGCTGGCTGACCTCACGATTGCCAATCATCGCTCAGTTCCTCCTCCTCCTCCTCCTCTACAACTCACATGGTCTCCTCCATGTCACCGTTGCACTGACGACCCACCCGCCGCTTTGCATTTGGATTCCACCCGAGTAATGGCCTGCATTGCGTGCGTTGTCATTCAACGCTATCCTCAGTAGAGTATTCCTGATCCAAGTCCATTTTCTCCTACATATTTGTTGAGCAATCGGCTCTTGGCTGGTTGATCTGTTCCCTCGTCAGAGTGTCTTGTTGCTAACTCTTTCTGGCCAGCCCGCTGAACTGTTGGCCGTTCAGTATAGAGCCAGCGAAGTGGCCAGTTATTGATAAAAGTCTACAATAACTTGTTGGAAAATGGTTTCGTGAAGTGCAGTGCAATTTTCTGATCTATAGAGAAGCAGTGACTGACTTCACATTTGTAGTAAAAATCCGAATCTTGTTGTTTATTCTGAGGCAGAATGCAGAATATTTCCAGACTGGTTTCAGGTTGATAAAAGGTGTATCTCGCCTTTTGAATTCCGACTGGTTTTGACATATTTATCCAATCCGACGGCTGTGGTTGAAACGATACTTCCCAGCTAGATAAGTGAAGAAGGCAACCTCTGTTGAATCTCTCCAGTGTTATTTGTCAACGGTGCTGGTTGTTGTTGCTGTTGGTTGGAATGTTTCGTTTATGTTCACCTGAAGTTCTTTCTATGTTTGCTGTCTGCCTATTCAGCCAATTTGTTGGTTGTCGCCTGTCTGCCTGCCTGCAAGTCTTTGAGTTTGTAAAACATTCAGCATAAATCATGCACATGCTAATTCAATATCATCTAGGGTGTTTTAAATGGTCAGTTGAGAGTATTTTTGTCTTCTTACTCCCCGCATACAGTCTACCACATAATCCATCCCAACACAGTTAATAATATCATCAACCATCCCAAGTAAAATACTAAGCCACATCATCCTGGAGAGAATCAAACAAGCCAATCTGGATGAAAAACTTCGACAGGATCAAGCTGGATTCAGGAGAAACAAGTCATGTATTTATTAAATCACCACACTATGAATCATCATTGAACGAAGCTTGGGATGGCTGTCTGTCACCTCTCTATCTCAGCTACATCGACTTTGAAAAGACATTCGATAGCGTCAATCGAGAGGTGATTCGGCAGCTACTTCGCTACTACGGGGTGCCGCCGACAATTATACAGTTATCCGACAATGCTGCATGCCAGGTAATCCACAGCGGGAAACTCAAGGAATCCTTCGAAGTAAAGACGGAAGTAAGGCAAGGCTGTCTACTATGGTCAATGATTTTCCTGATCGCAGTAGATTGGATAATGAGACAGAAAGCGAGCAATGAGGAAACAGGCATAAAATGGACTCGAAACATTTGGAGGATCTGGACTTCGTCGTTGATATATGTCTGATTTCCAACAAACTGGAAGATATGCAAATGAAAAGCAACAAGTTGATGATAGAAGAAGCATCAAAGATAGGCCTTCAGGTGAGCATAGAGAAAATAGAGTTAGATGATGAAGATTCCTGGCCAACAACAGACAACAATCAGCCCGCATAAATGGGGTGAACTTGAAAGAAACAACCTCCCTTACCTAACGACCGACCTGGGAAGCATCGTTTCAACTACAAGCACAAAGAACTGACGAGGATATCAAAGCAAGTATCGGGAAAGCAAGATAAGCTTTCATTACTCTCATTTCTGTGTGGAAGTCAACAGCACTATTCACCATGAAAAATAAGATCCGGATTTTCAGCTCCAATGTGAAGTCAGTGCTACTCGCTGTACGGATCAGAGACCTGGCATGTCATAAACAGCACCTCAGACAAACTACACACCTTCATCAACAGCTGCCCTTCCTCAATACTCAAGATCAGATGGCCGGCCAGAAAAGACCGGCAACAGGGATCTCTGGCAATGAGTAAACCAACCCAACAGGAACCGATTGTGAAACAAATAAACAGGAAGAAATGGAGGTGAAATGGCTGGCCATACTCTGAGGAAACAAACCATCAAGTGACATCACTAGACAAGCCATCGCTCGAGTGGAACGCGAAAGGGAAGCGGCGAGTTTGTCGTCAATGTGGGGGTGACTTGGAGGAGGTCATGAGAAGAAGAGACGAAAGCTTTTGGGCAGACTTGGAGAGAGGTCAAAAATTTAGCACAGAACCGAACGCGGTGGAGACGCGCGGCTGAAGCCCCATGTTCCTCTAGGAATTAAAGAAAATAATAATAATAGGCAGCTTCGTCTTACTTTTTACTCAGGAAGCCTGATAAAACTTGTGCTACCGAAAACCACCATCAGTATATATTGTATATAATTTCTCTCATTCAGTTTGTTTAAGTCTACTGAAATATAACCCCAAACAGTATTATTTACTCTTGCAAGTATCAAGTATTGGTTTGTAGAGATTTTATATGATTGGTTGGAGGATTTCATCATGAGCTGACATTGGTTAGAGGACCATTGGAAAACCAGTCACAGGAAGTACTGGACAGCCAGCTGTCTTGTCGGCCTGCTTCCGGACTCTTCACAGTGGGCACCCACATTTCCGGGTTCGAATCCAGGACCCTCCGGTTACAAGGCTAGTGAGCCCGTAGACCACTAAGCCAGTGGTACTCAATCCAACGGCAGTACATGAATTCCAACTTCTGTCAATTCATGACATAGCGCGACCAATTTGCAATGTCTTCAATGAGTAACTGTCCTCACTTTCGGTCTGGTGTACCCTACTGGTCACAGGTTCCCACTAGGATCACAGGTTAACTGTCTGAATATGGCTCTATTGTTGAAGAGTTCGAAACTAGGTAGCTATCTAGTACTCCTAGGTTTTCTAGTGGGCCTCTAACTGTTTTCAGTTCATAATGAAGTTCTGAAAAAAGATTCATTCGGTGAACTAGTCAACCAAATGGAAATAGAATGCTTGAATTAACGGGCTACCTGAATTCCCTTCCACCCAGCATAGAGCAT